ACTCAAAAATGAAAAACCTAACCATCCAATTAGAACACAGGCAACAGACATAGAGGCACATTTCACTGACGAGAATATACAGATCGCAAATAAGCACAGGAAAAGATATTAGCCACTAGGGAAATGCAAATTAAAACCACAATAAAGATATCACTGTATACCTATCAGAATGACTAAAATAAAAAGTAATGACAATACCAAATATTGGCAAAGATGCAGAGAAGCTAGATCACTTAAATGCTGCTGGTGGTAACATAAAATAGGACAACTATGCCAGAAAACAGTTTGGCAGTTCCTTAAAAAACTAAATACATAACTACCATATGACCCAGCTACTGTACTCCTGGGCATTTTTCCCAAAGAAATGAAAACTTACAATCACACAGAAAATCCATACATGAAAGTCTGCAGCAGCTTTAATCATAAAAGCCAAAAACTGGAAGCAACCCAGATGTCCTTCAAAGGATGAATGGTTAAACAAGTGCAGTGTGTCTATATAATATCAGAGTATTACTCAGCAATAAAAAAGAACAAACTACTGACACATGAAACAACTTGATGAATCTCCAAAGAATTACGCTAGGTAAAAAAATAAAAATTTTTAAAAAGCCAATTCCAAAAAGCTACATACTATATGATTCCATTTATATCACATTCTTCAAATGATAAAATTAAAGAAATAAAGAACAGATTAGTGATTGTCAGGATTTCAGGATGGAGTGGGGATAGGAAGGAAGTAGGCGTGACTATAAAAAAACAACACAAGAGGTTGATGAAAATGCTCTTATATCTTGACTGTATCCATGTTAATACTGTGGATGTGACATGGTACTACAGTTTCTTAAGATGGGGAAATGGGTAAAGGGTATACAGAATCTATATTATTTCTTACAATTGCAAGTGAATCTACAAGTATTTCAAAATAAAAAGTTTAAGGAAACATACTTTTACTTCCCACTCCAAAAAGAGTAAGGCCTTCTAAACCCTCTGCCTGCTTCTACTTTAACTCCTACTGTCTGCTTTTGACATAGCAGCCAGAGTCATCCTGTAAAAACTTAAGTTCAATTATGCTTAAAACCCTCTGGGAGCTCCCCATTTCTCTCAAATGTAAAACTCTAAGTCTTTGTAATAGCCTACAAGATCCTAATGATCTGGCACCCATTACCTCAACCTCATCTCTTACTAAACTCCCAAACTACTCTATCCCTGTTGCCTACTTAACAGATAGCAATACCTGTTTACTGAATACGCTCTTGACCCAATTCTCACCACAAACCCTACACTACTTCCCAAGTAGCATCTTTGCACCTATCACACTCTGTAAAAAGCCTTTCCCATAGTTTTCAGGCAGGCAAAACCCCACTCATTCTTCTAAGGGTATCTCCAATATCACTCCATTTGTTATTATAACTCCAATACCTAGCACCAAGTAGGAGCAAAATTAATAAGTATTATTCAGGGGCGCCTGGGTGGCTCAGTGGGTTAAGCTTCCCTCTGCCTTCAGCTCAGGTCATGATCTCAGGGTCCTAGGACTGAGCCCCGCATCGGACTCTCTGCTCAGCAGGGAGCCTGCTTCCTCCTTTCTACATTAAATTCTTTTTTTTTTATGGGTCCCTTTAAAAAACTGTCTTAAAATAGATTACAACAATAATTCTTAAACAAGAATGCAGAGTACCCTGAGAATTCATTCAGAATGGGCACTGAGGCAACAGTGCCTCAAAAATTAAACATATTACACATTAAATTTAAGTGATCATTTGGGAGCAATCTGATGGCATACACAGAAAGTAGGCACTTTTGAAATGACGTGGTAAGACTTAATCAGAAGATGATCATCCAGTGATCCAAAACAATGCTTATATTAATTTTTTTAGATTTTGTCAAAATAAAAATATAAAACTTTAAAATCCTTACAGATTGCCAAGAATACAACCAAGTACTGCAATTTTAAGAAACCTAATATGAGGGGCGCCTAGGTGGCTCAGTGGGCAGGTGAGAATTCTACCACTGAACCACCAATGCCCAGTAGGTGGCTCAGTGGGTTAAAGCCTCTGCCTTCGGCTCAGGTCATGATCCCAGGGTCCTAGGATAGAGCCCCGCATTGGGCTCTCTGCTCAGCAGGGAGCCTGCTTCCCTTCCTCTTCCTCTCTCTCTCTCTCTCTCTCTCTCTGCCTGCCTCTCTGCCTACTTGTGATCTCTATCTGTCAAATAAATAAATAAATTAAATAAAATCTTAAAAAAAAAAACCTAATATGAAACAAGTTTAAATAAATCTAATGCAGTAACTTCCTAACTTTCTATGCTTAGTTGAAGTTTGGAACTCAACACATCTTATTTGGCTGTTATTTTTTTTATTAAAAGAGTAATTACGTTGGGGTGCCTGGGTGGTTCAGTCTGTTAGGTGTCTGCCTTTGGCTTGGGTCATGATCCCAGGGTAGCTGAGACTGAGCCACGAACTGGGCTCCCTGCTCGGCAGGGAGTCTGCTTCTCCCTCTCCCTCTGCTCCTCCCCCTGCTTGTGTTCTCTCAAAATAAATTTAAAAATCTTTAAAATAAAAAAAAAATTAAACAAAAGAGTCTTAAAATTACTTGAAATTGCTCTATCATAAGGTAAGCTTACAAAAAACACTTCTCTTACCAAATTTTAACAAATGGCATGCTGCACTACAATGTAGCTGCTTCCTTCTTAGGAGCATATGTTAGTTTACATTCAAATTATTTTTAGTAGAGAATAAGAATTTTAAATTGACAGAAAGATTTAATTAAAAAAAAAAAAAGAAAGAAAGATTATCTAAAATGTCCCAGTTTAGTTGGAGCAATATTTATGGCGCTCTAATAAATAGAAACAAGAAGACACCTTAATACTCCACACTCCCCCCTTGCTTAACCCTCCCTACAAAATTTTCAACCAGGGGAAAAGCTGTTTATGAACTACAGTTACTAGCTATATATCCCTCAAACTGTATGTCTTAATCATTCCAGTAAGAAATATAAATGCTTAAATGTCAGGTTTTGTCTTAAATGATTAAATAACCAAAACAATCATACTACGTAAGTACTTTGGGAAAAGGAATTATCTGCATCAACCAAAGAAATCCTCGTTATATTCTACTCTTGATGAAAGGGACTTGGGAAAATGAATCTCAGTCCTGCCCCACAAACTTAAAATGCTTCTGGGATGGTGGCTGCCCTGCCCTCACTGCTGCTGGGGAAACCTAAGGAAGTAACCACAGCACTGTAGTAGACGACTGTATGGCTAGACAGCCCCTGTTGGCAAATAAGAAAACACTATCCCATTCACAGTTTTTCATCTGAAAATTCAAAAAAGATTTAAGAAGAAGAGCAGGGCTATGCCTGCCTAAAGAAAAAAGGGAATACTAAACAAAATACTGCTTAATCATTATAAATTCTTATTAATAGATTTGTCCCCCTAAGTCTCGGGCCCTAAGTTACACACTTCTTTATTTCCTGATAAAGCCTTCAATATCTTCATTCACAATGTAACATATCTAAGAAAAGAAATACTTAATCATGTAGCATTATTTACAACAGCCAAGATAGCGAAACAACCTAAATGCCTATGGATGGACGAACAGGTAAATATGTGGTGTGTATATACAATGGAATAATACTCAGCCACACACTCACAAAAAATGAAATACAGCATTTGTGACAACATGGATGGACCTTGAAGCACTATGCTAATTGAAATAAGTCAGAGAAAGACAAATACCATATGATTTCACCTCTATACGGTGGGGCGGGGGGGGGGGGGGGATCAAAACAACAACAAACAAGCCAACAAGCCAAACTCATAGAGAAGAGACTGGTGGTTGCCAGAAAAGAGGGAACTGGAGGTTGGTGAAATGGTAGAGGAGCACCAAAAGGAAGAAACTCCCAATTACAAAATAAGTCATGAGGATGTAATAAATAGCATGGTGACTATGGTCAGTAATAGAGTAATAATGCATATTTGAAAGCTGCAAAGAGAGTAAATCTTAAAAGCTCTTATTACAAGGAAAAAAATTTTGTAACTGTTACAAAATGTGATATGTTGTAACTACATTTATTGAAGTGATCAGTTCCTGGTGTACACGAATACCAAATTTATGTTGTACACCTGAATCTAGCATGTTATATGCTAATCATACCTAAATAAATAATAAAAAGAATTTTAATAAAAATTTTTAAATTAAATAAAATCCTACGACTCTATTTAAATGAAGCAGTCTTTTCCAGCTAACCCAGGACACAAGGAACCATGTTTACCAAGAATCTCCCTTGTCGCCTTCCTCCTCTCCTCCTCCCAAGCCCCTCAGGAGCCCAAAGCCTCAGTATTCTGGCTCTTTACCAAGCACCAGAACCTCCCAGATCTCAGAGATGCACCAGTATCCTAAGACAGCTTTCTCCCCTTCACTTTTGCTCTCCAAAATTATTCCATCAGCTCAGTCTGGTCAGTGCCCCGGCCCACCCTGGTCTTTACCACTTACCTCACCGTTCTGGAAACCGCCCACACTCCCCTGGCCCTGCTGGACCCCTGCGTGCCTCCCCCCCGCCCCCCGGCGTTAGGACCCTCTCTAGACACCACACCTCCTAACCGCGGTCATCTCCTCAGCATCTGTCCCCTCTGTCCCCTCACGACTGCGAGCAATTTCGGAGACCCCACCACCGCCATACCCTGTAGCAACCCATTCTTCAAGACTCTCTAGATACCACCACCACTTCTCCCTCCACGCCCATCTACATACTCTGCTCCCCGCTCCTGGATCCCCGCATCTCTCATCCCCATTTCTCGGCTTCTCAGAGACCCCACCTCCTCAGACACCCTACCTCCTCAGACACCCTACCCTCCGTCCTCGCCCCTAGAGACCCTGCCCTGTCTACACAGTGCCAGCTGCTCCGGACACTCCGAAGCGTCATTTCCCCCGCCGGGCCTGACTCCCCGCCCGTGCTGGCCCTCCGCGTCTTCCCGCGCCCGCCCTGCCGCCGCGCCCCCTTTACCACTGGACATGGTGGCGGACGCAAGCAGGAGCGCCGGGACCAGCGGCCACGCCAATACTCCGGGGACCTGAAGGCCGGGCGAAGGCCGCAGTTTCCTTTGCACAGCTCCCCTCATCCTCCTCAAGGCAGCAGCGGCCATAACGGATTCGGCCAGGAGCCTGCGCGGTTGCTAGGCTCTACGTCATGACATCAGACCCTGCGTAAGGCACCACGGCCTGAGGCATCTACGTCCCAACGTGATGACGTCGCAACCCAGCGCGGCTCTCAGGAAACCCGCCAAGGAGGAAATGTATGGAGCTGTTGCAGCCGGTCCGCCCCACGCAAGCCCCTGGCTGCATGAGGCTGTAAAGTGTTAGACGTAGAGAGGGTCAGAGCGCGGCCCTCCCTGCCTGCCATGTGATGGGATACTCTATAGTTCAGGGAAGTATTTTAAAACATTGGTTTGTTTGTTTGTTTGTTTGTTTTTAAGACTATTTTTCAGTAATCTCTATACCCAAAGTGGGGCCCGAACTTACAACCTTGAGATCAAGTGTGACATGCTTTATGGACTGAACAGCCAGGTGCCCCTAAAACATTGTTAGAAGAAAGGGGCACCTGGGTGGCTCAGTGGGTTAAGCAACCAACTTTTTTTTTTTTAACTCAATTAATTAACATATAGTGTATTATCAGTTTCAGAGGTTGAGTTCGGTGATTCATCAGTGTTATATAACACCCAGTGCTCATTTCATTAGGTGCCATCCTTAATGCTCATCAGCCAGTTACCCATCCCCCCCTCCTCCCACGCTCCCCCTTCCCTCCAACAACCCTCAGATTGTTTCCTATGATTAAGAATCTCAGGGTTTGTCTCTCTCCCTCATTTCATTTCGTTTTATTTTCCCCTCCCTTCCCCCGTACTCCCCTGTTTTGTTTCTTAAATTCCACATAGGAGTGAAATCATAGGTAATTGTCTTTCTCTGACTGACTTAAGCGGCCAGCTCTTGATTTTGGCTCAGATCACCATCTCAAGGCGGTGAGATCAAGCCCTACCTCCACCTCCATGCTCAGGGGGCACTCTGCTTCGGATTCTCTCTCCCTCTGCCTCTCCTGCTCACTCTATTTCTCTCAAATAAATTAAAATCTTTTTTAAAAAAACGTTGAAAGGGAAGTAGCTGCCCTTCCTCTCCCAAAGGCAAATGAAACCCAACTGTTCACAGCAGCTGTATCCAGGTGGTGGAATTATAGGTAAATGTTTTACTTTTTATCTTTCTCCTAATTATTTATTACTTCAACAGATATTTAGCACCTTCTCGTATTTCAGTATACAGCAATTAACAAACCACATACGCTTTGTACAGTTTGTGAGGAAGACAATAGTGCAAAATACACACTATACAATGGTAAAGGCGTAATGGAGAAAAAGCACGAAAAGCAGGCCAGAAAGTAGGGTGCAAACAGCCTCCACATTTCCTACAATAAGCTTCTGTTACTTTTTAAATTTTGTGACTTAAAACCCCCAATATATGAAAATGCAGATTAGCATTCCCTCACAGCCTTGACACATGCTTTGGCCTGTGTGTTCTGCAAATTTTTTTTCTAAAAATGGATTTTACTAAATGCCATTAGTAATAAAAAGTTGTCATAAACAGAGTGTCTGCAAATGTTTCTTAAATAAATGTCTGTAGGCTTAAAATCATAGAAGTTCCACTGGATTGATCTGCAGGAAAATCATTGTGGCATGAAGCAAGACATTTGCTGTACCCATAGCTTCACCACTCTGCTCTCCATGATTCCCACAGAAGAATCCTCCAGAGACACAGCTGAACTGCCCCTCTAAGGAGGGGCCCCTCTTCTCTTGAATCTGATTTCCCTTAACATTTATCTGGCCCCAGTGACAGCTCAGAAACACACAAACTCTGTGTTGGTAAGAAAACTAAGAGGTCATTCATGTTCGTTTCTCTAAGCCCACCACAAGCCTAGACAGACTGAATGGCGCCCTTATTCCAAACCCTTCACGGTAGCCAGGATACAAAGTCTTCCCAAATTCCCTTGGAGCTCTCCCTTCCCTGAGTACACAAACCACCACTCAGTTTAGCGAATAAGACTCTCAATTCCAGCTTCTGCTTGTTGGGAGCTTTAGACATTAGCCCTTTTCCCTAATAAACTCACCTTCAATCTTCTCTTCTTTGTCCACTTTCTTCCTTTTGTCCCCACACCAGAATGTTTAGGTTCTCCTACTGATGAAATACCATGAACTCGGGGGATTTTGCACAATATTCTGACATACTGCATACAACAGGCAGATATTTATGTAAGTGGGGAGGGAAATATACTCTCAATACTCACAGGGCCCTTCGTACATTTCTTTTTTTTTTTTTTTTTTTTTTTAAAGATTTTATTTATTTATTTGACAGACAGAGATCACAAGTAGGCAGAGAGGCAGGCAGAGAGAGAGGAAGGGAAGCAGGCTCCCCACTGAGCAGAGAACCCGATGCGGGACTCGATCCCACGACCCTGAGATCACGACCTGAGCCGAAGGCAGCGGCCCAACCCACTGAGCCACCCAGGCGCCCCCCTTCGTACATTTCAAAATACCAGTACTGTAACTGGCTTCTGACTGGATATACCCAACAACCATTTTGTGCCAAAATCTCTGGAGAAATTCACAAGTTCACTTTGAAATAGATACAGAGCCTCATGAACCCGACCGATGAAGACAGTATGACAAATACTGAGGCCAACAAGTTTTGGGAGACACAAAATGCTTAAGTAAATCTTGTTTGGCATTGTCACTTCCAAACATCCATTACACATATGCACACACACACACACACACACACACACACACACATACATACATATACATATATATATTTGAATAGAAAATAAGTTCACATTTACTGAAGATGGATAATATGTACATAGTTTACTCTTCTACTTTGTAAATGTTTTAAATTTACACATTGTCATTTTTTAAAATCTAAATTGCAGAATTCTAGGGCGCCTGGGTGACTCAGACAGTTAAGCATCTGCCTTTGGCTCAGCTCATGATCCCAGGGTCCTGGGATCGAACCCTGAGTTGGGTTCCTTCCCTGGTGGGGAGCCTGCTTCTCCCTCTTCCTCTGCTGCTCCCTCTGCTTGTGCTCACTCGTCTGTCAAATAAATAAAATCTTTTTAAAAAATAAATAATACATGGGGCACCTGGGTGGCTCAGTTGGTTAAGTGTCTGGCTTCGGCTCAGGTCATGATCCCAGGGTCCTGGGATCAAGCCCCACATTGGGGTCCCTGCTTGCCAGGAAGCCTACTTCTCCTTCTCCCACTCCCCCTGCTGTGTTCCCTCTCTCTCTGTCTGTCCCTGCCAAATAAATAAATAAAATCTTAAAAAAAAAAAATAAGATCTTTTAAAAAAGATAATCTTTTTAAACAAATAAATAAATAAGACATTACAGAATTCTAGAACAAACCCCAATGATCCATGCCTTTGTATGATCTCCTGCCCTTGAGTGTGGGAGGGACCTGTGAATATGATGGGATATCATTACTGTGATTAGGTTATTAAAGGGCACATTAGATTTTAAGAAGGGCAGATTTTCCTCAGAGGGCCTCACCTAATCAGGTGAGACTTTAGAAGGGTTGGAGCAGTTACAAAATGAGTTAAAGGGCACCTGAGTGGCTCAGTCAGTTAAGCATCTGCCTTCAGCTCAGGTCATGATCTTGGGGTCCTGTGATCAAGTCCCATGTCAGGCTCCCTACTCAGCCGTTCCTCCCTCTGTCTCTCTGTCTCTCATGAATAAATAAAATCTTTTTAGAAAAAAATGAGTTTAAGTCCTGGGGAATGCCACATACAGCATGGTGACTATAGTTAGTAATACTAGATTGTGTATTTGAGAGTTGCTAAGAGAGTAGATCTTAGAAGTTCTTATCACAAGGGGAAAAAATTATAACTGTGTGGTGACAGATGTAACTAGATGTAGTGATTATTTTGCAATATATACAAATATTGAATCATGCTGTACACCTGAAACTAATATGTTCTGTCAATTTTACCTCAATAAACAAAAAATAGGGGCGCCTGGCTGGCTCAGTTGGACACTCAGTTAAGTGTCCAACTCTCGATTGTGGCTGGGGTCATGATCTCAGGGTCATGCGATCCACCCCTGTACTGGGCTCCACACTGAGATTCTCCTCCCCCCACATGCACTCTCTCTCAAATAAGTAAATCTTATATATATATATATATATATATATAAAATTTTTAAAAGGGGTAAGGTGTGGCTGGTGCTCCTCCTAGAGATTTCAAGTGTGAGAGGGATTTGACAGTAAGGGAATTCTTCCATTCCAGCTTTGAAGATGGGAGGGGACCATATGGCAAGGAATGCACTGGCCTCTATTTGCTGAGAGGAACCCCACTTGATGGCCAGCAAGGACATGAGGACCATTATCCTACAACCAAAAGGAGTTGAATTCTCTTATAACCATGTCAGCCTGGAAGAGGACCCCAAGCTCCAGAATAGAACACAGTCCGACAGACATCCTAATTTCCACATCATGAGAATCTTAACAGAGAACCCAGTCACACCATGCTAGACTTCTGAACTACAGGCCTGGGAAATAAATGAGTGTTGTTTTAAGCAACTATTTGGCTAATTTGTTATGCAACAATAGAAAACTAAAAATCTCTCTCTCTCTCTCTCTCTCTCTCACACACACACACACACACACACAGTACAAACACAAATGCCAAACAAATGCCCTGTTTACTTATACTTTTATTAATAAAGACAACAGAAGAATGAGGTTTCAATATTTTATTCAAGTTTTACTTTAAGTGATGTTAATTACAGCATTTGAAGGGGAGGATCTAATTCCACACAAAATGGAAGACTCTAAAATGTACCCATTAAACGGCTAAAAAATAAACTGAGTGGCGAGAATATAACAAGTCCAATTTCGATTCTGAGTGTTGTCACAATGCAATTACAGTCACAGAGACTCTTCCCAGCTCAGAGCTAGGACTCTTAGAAGCTATTTCATACTCTGGTGCAAGGGCAGAAAACCACAACATGAGAGGGAATTAAGTCCTGAATTATTGGCTTCATCACATCCAACTTTTCCACCCCCAAAATGGCACAAAAGAAACAGCTACCACACCTGCAGACTACTTTTGGTGTAAAAGAGGTGATGGACTGGAGTGGAAACCGGTCAGGAAAATCTGTCTAAAAAAGTCTCTTTCAGATGAG